AGACACCAGTGCTGTAACCTAAACATATGTACTGTTCTAGACACCAGTGCAGTAACCTTAACATATGTACTGTTCTAGACACCAGTGCAGTAACCTTAACATATGTACAGTTCTAGACACCAGTGCAGTAACCTAAACATATGTAGTGTTCTAGACACCAGTGGAGTAACCTAAACATATGTACTGTTTTAAACACCAGTGCTGTAACCGAAACATGTACTGTTCTAGACACCAGTGCTGTAACCGAAACATATGTACAATTCTAGACACCAGTGCTGTAACCTAAACATGTGTACTGTTCTAGGCACCAGTGCTGTAACTGAAACATGTGTCCTGTTCTAGACACCAGTGCTGTAACAGAAACATGTGTACTGTTCTAGACACCGGTGCTGTAACCGAAACATGTGTACTGTTCTAGACACCAGTGCTGTAACCTAAACATGTGTACTGTTCTAGACACCAGTGCTGTAACCTAAACATGTGTACTGTTCTAGACACCAGTGCTGTAACCTAAACATGTGTACTGTTCTAGACACCAGTGCTGTAACCTAAATATGTGTACTGCTCTAGACACCAGTGTTGTAACCTAAACCATGTGTGTTTCTCTAGACACCAGTGATCTAACCTAAACATGTGTACTGCTCTAGACACCAGCACTGTAACCTAAACATGTGTGTTTCTCTCACACAACAGTGCTGTAACCTAAACATGAGTACTGCTCTAGACACCAGTGCTGTAAACGAAACGTGTGTTTGCTCTAGACACCAGTGGAGTAACCTAAACATATGTACTGTTCTAGACACCAGTGCTGTAACCTAAACATGTGTGTTATTCTAGACACCAGTGCTGTAACCTAAACATATGTACTGTTCTAGACACCAGTGCAGTAACCTAAACATATGTATTATTCTAGACACCAGTGCTGTAACCTAAACATATGTACTGTTCTAGACACCAGTGCTGTAACCTAAACATGTGTACTGTTCCAGACACCAGTGCTGTAACCTAAACATATGTACTGTTCTAGACACCAGTGCTGTAACCTAAACATATGTATTATTCTAGACACCAGTGGAGTAACCTAAACATATGTACTGTTCTAGACACCAGTGCTGTAACCTAAACATGTGTGTGTTTCTAGACACCAGTGTGTAACCTAAAGATGTGTACTGTTCTAGACACCAGTGCTGTAACCTAAACATGTGTGTTATTCTAGACACCAGTGCTGTAACCTAAACATGTGCATTGTTCTAGACACCAGTGCAGTAACCTTAACATATGTACTGTTCTAGACACCAGTGCTGTAACCTAAACATATGTACTGTTCTAGACACCAGTGCTGTAACCTAAACATGTGTGTTGCTCTAGACACCAGTGCTGTAACCTAAACATATGTACTGTTCTAGACACCAGTGCTGTAACCTAAACGTGTACTGTTCTATACACCAGTGCTGTAACCGAAACTGGTGTTTCTCTAGACACCAGTGTTGTAACCTGTAACCTTGTAAGATATGTAACTTAACATTGCATTGCTCTAGACACCAGTGCAGTAACCTTAACATATGTACAGTTCTAGACACCAGTGCAGTAACCTAAACATATGTAGTGTTCTAGACACCAGTGGAGTAACCTAAACATATGTACTGTTTTAAACACCAGTGCTGTAACCGAAACACGTGTACTGTTCTAGACACCAGTGCTGTAACCGAAACATATGTACAATTCTAGACACCAGTGCTGTAACCGAAACATGTGTACTGTTCTAGGCACCAGTGCTGTAACTGAAACATGTGTCCTGTTCTAGACACCAGTGCTGTAACAGAAACATGTGTACTGTTCTAGACACCGGTGCTGTAACCTAAACATGTGTACTGTTCTAGACACCAGTGCTGTAACCTAAACATGTGTACTGTTCTAGACACCAGTGCTGTAACCTAAACATGTGTACTGTTCTAGACACCAGTGCTGTAACCTAAACATGTGTACTGTTCTAGACACCAGTGCTGTAACCTAAATATATGTACTGCTCTAGAGACACCAGTGTTGTAACCTAACCATGTGTGTTTCTCTAGACACCAGTGATCTAACCTAAACATGTGTACTGTTCTAGACACCAGCACTGTAACCTAAACATGTTTGTTTCTCTCTGACAACAGTGCTGTAACCTAAACATGAGTACTGTTCTAGACACCAGTGCTGTAAACGAAACGTGTGTTTCTCTAGACACCAGTGGAGTAAACTAAACATGTGTACTGTTCTAGACACCAGTGCTGTAACCTAAACATATGTGTTTCTCTAGACACCAGTGCTGTAACCTAAACATATGTACTGTTCTAGACACCAGTGCAGTAACCTAAACATATGTATTATTCTAGACACCAGTGCTGTAACCTAAACATATGTACTGTTCTAGACACCAGTGCTGTAACCTAAACATGTGTACTGTTCTAGACACCAGTGGAGTAACCTAAACATATGTACTGTTCTAGACACCAGTGCTGTAACCTAAACATATGTATTATTCTAGACACCAGTGGAGTAACCTAAACATATGTACTGTTCTAGACACCAGTGTTGTAACCTAAACATGTGTGTTATTCTAGACACCAGTGCTGTAACCTAAACATGTGTACTGTTCTAGACACCAGTGCTGTAACCTAAACATATGTGTTTTCTCTAGACACCAGTGCTGTAACCTAAACATGTGCATTGCTCTAGACACCAGTGCAGTAACCTTAACATATGTACAGTTCTAGAAACCAGTGCTGTAACCTAAACATATGTACTGTTCTAGACACCAGTGCTGTAACCTAAACATGTGTGTTTCTCTAGACACCAGTGCTGTAACCTAAACATATGTACTGTTTTAGACACCAGTGCTGTAACCTAAACGTGTACTGTTCTAGACACCAGTGCTGTAACCGAAACTGGTGTTTCTCTAGACACCAGTGTTGTAACCTTAAGATATGTACTGCTTTAGACACCAGTGCTGTAACCTAAACATATGTACTGTTCTAGACACCAGTGCTGTAACCTAAACATATGTACTGTTCTAGACACCAGTGGAGTAACCTAAACATATGTACTGTTCTAGACACCAGTGGAGTAACCTAAACATATGTACTGTTCCCTAGACACCAGTGGAGTAACCTAAACATATGTACTGTTCAAGACACCAGTGGAGTAACCTAAACATATGTACTGTTCCAGACACCAGTGGAGTAACCTAAACATATGTACTGTTCTAGACACCAGTGCAGTAACCTAAACATATGTACTGTTCTAGACACCAGTGGAGTAACCTAAACATATGTACTGTTCTAGACACCAGTGCAGTAACCTAAACATATGTACTGTTCTAGACACCAGTGCAGTAACCTTAACATATGTACTGTTCTAGACACCAGTGCAGTAACCTTAACATATGTACAGTTCTAGACACCAGTGCAGTAACCTAAACATATGTACTGTTCTAGACACCAGTGCAGTAACCTTAACATATGTACAGTTCTAGACACCAGTGCAGTAACCTAAACATATGTAGTGTTCTAGACACCAGTGCAGTAACCTTAACATATGTACAGTTCTAGACACCATTGGAGTAACCTAAACATGCGTACTGTTCTAGACACCAGTGCTGTAACCTTAACATATGTACAGTTCTAGACACCAGTGCTGTAACCTAAACATGTGTACTGTTCTAGACACCAGTGCTGTAACCTAAACATGTGTGTTTCTCTAGACACCAGTGCTGTAACCTAAACATATGTACTGTTTTAGACACCAGTGCTGTAACCTAAACGTGTACTGCTCTATACACCAGTGCTGTAACCGAAACAGGTGTTTCTCTGGACACCAGTGCTGTAACCTAAACATATGTACTGCTCTAGACACCAGTGCTGTAACCTAAACATATGTACTGTTCTAGACACCAGTGGAGTAACCTAAACATATGTATTATTCTAGACACCAGTGGAGTAACCTAAACATATGTACTGTTCTAGACACCAGTGCAGTAACCTAAACATATGTACAGTTCTAGACACCAGTGCAGTAACCTAAACATATGTACTGTTCTAGACACCAGTGGAGTAACCTAAACATATGTACTGTTCCAGACACCAGTGGAGTAACCTAAACATATGTACTGTTCAAGACACCAGTGGAGTAACCTAAACATATGTACTGTTCCAGACACCAGTGCTGTAACCTAAACATATGTACTGTTCTAGACACCAGTGGAGTAACCTAAACATATGTACTGTTCTAGACACCAGTGCTGTAACCCAAACATATGTGTTGTTCCAGACACCAGTGCTGTAACCTAAACATATGTACTGTTCTAGACACCAGTGGAGTAACCTAAACATATGTACTGTTCTAGACACCAGTGGAGTAACCTAAACATATGTACTATTCCAGACACCAGTGGAGTAACCTAAACATATGTACTGTTCCAGACACCAGTGCAGTAACCTTAACATATGTACAGTTCTAGACACCATTGCAGTAACCTAAACATGCGTACTGTTCTAGACACCAGTGCTGTAACCTAAACATATGTACTGTTCTAGACACCAGTGCTGTAACCTAAACATATGTACTGTTCTAGACACCAGTGCTGTAACCTAAACATATGTACTGTTCTAGACACCAGTGCTGTAACCTAAACATATGTACTGTTCTAGACACCATGTAGTAACCTAAACATATGTGCTGTTCCAGAACACCACTGGAGTAACCTAAACATATGTACTGTTCTAGACACCAGTGGAGTAACCTAAACATATGTACTGTTCACAGACACCACTGGAGTAACCTAAACATATGTACTGTTCCAGACACCACTGGAGTAACCTAAACATATGTACTGTTCCAGACACCACTGGAGTAACCTAAACATATGTACTGTTCAAGACACCAGTGGAGTAACCTAAACATATGTACTGTTTCAGACACCAAGGCAGTAACCTAAACATATGTTCTGTTTTAATCACCAGATCAGTATGGCGATGTCATTCAACCCCCTGTGCCGGGAAATGCTGAAGGAGTGGCTTGGGGAGAGCCATAAGTTCAAGATCCTGTTTGACAGTTCCCAGTACTACAATCAGATCGAAGAGTTTCATAAGCGCTGTGACAAAAGTGAACCCACTGTTACTATCTTCTACACCAATGGCGACAGTGTTTTCGGTACGGCTATATTAATAGAGAACGTTCCACACCATAAACTCGAACTGAGCTAACTAGTAAATATTCCAAGACTGATCTCGCAATGACTAATGTAAATCCTCTACATACTTCAAACGCCGACTTTTCATTACGTCACTTCAAGGAGTTTCCGCGTTAAAAAAACCCTTTGAAGATCATTCTCAGCAAGATACAAGTGAGCGAGTCAGTTTAATTTTACGCCGCTTTTAGCAATATTCCAGCAATAACACGGTTGGGGACACCAGAAATGGGCTTCACACCTTGTACCCATGTTGAGAATTGAACCTTAAATCGAAAGTTATTACAAATTTCACACAAGGCACAAGTCACAACGTGATGAAAACACAATGGATTATAGTTTCAGCTAAATGCATCTTCATGTGTTGACAGATTCTTGTCTGATATTCCAGGTGGCTATACGCGACAGACTTGGCAGCCCTCTTCTAACCAAGAATACAAGCACGACAAAAGAGCTTTTCTGTTCCAGCTTTTCAAAAGGGCCACTTTCAACCCGAAGAAGTACCCTGTTGAAGCCCATCGTTGTGCTATCTATTGCCACAGCGACTATGGACCAACATTTGGAGGTGGTCAAGCCGACGGAACGAAGGATATTGTCACGCAGACGGACACTGGTCACAAGGCGGGCGTCACAGTGCGAACAGCAATAGGCCAAGCATACAGCCCTGAAGTACGCCAAAGTGTAAACTTCACAGACGGTCAAGAGGAGGTTGTGAAGTTCGAGGTATTTCTTGTCATTGGTAAGTTTAACCGTTGTCAAGTAAATATTTGTCTGCTTACAATTACCTACCAGTTTTTGAGAAGAGCTGGTTTCATCCATTGTATTCAGCGAAACTTCACATTACTCTCACGGCTATTGTCCTTCACGGCTATTGTTTTGGGTAGGTAATCGGAGTTGTTCGCTGGAGTACGTTATATCTCCAAGCCGTGATGGCGATTTATCAAAGTCGAGCGTATATTCTGTTGTATGGGCGCAATCACTGCCGGTCGGAAAACCACCCAGGACTTAACGCTTTAAATAAATAGGATTTGGTGGTTTGATTTATGCATCGTTGATCACTCTGCCAGATACCGGTTAACCTGAACCAAGTATGTATATACCCCGCCGATCCAATAGTATCACTGAAATATTATGCCACAATTTACGTTGTCACAACCACAGGGGTTCGAATCACTGTTTGGACAGTATTTAAGACAAAATATATATTCTAGACTGTTGCAATCGTACATCGTTTTTATGCGTAATGATTAACATCAAATTTCAAATTTGACCGAGATCGGTGAAGAAATGAATTTTTGAGAAAATTCTACCGCAACACTCATTACATATACTCATGCCAATAATGGTTGTCACCCCCTCCCCACCCCAACCCCACACACACCTCACACCCCACCCCACACCCCTCTCCAATTAAAAATTTGAAGGGGTGACAACCATTATTGGCATGAGTATATGTGTATTTTATATAAGCGTACCGGTAGAATGGTCTTAAAAATTCATTTCTTCACCGATCTCGGTCAAATTTGAAGTATATGTTAATCGTAACTTATAAAAACAACATGCGATTGCAAAAGTTTAGATTTTATATGTTTAAAAAGTATTGTCCAAACAGCGATTCGAAGACCAATGGTCACAATGTTATTTTGTGGACTCAGAATTACTTTGTCACAACGTTGTGGCCTGGTCATTTTATGTTGATGAATAGAAAATGAGAGTTCTACGCCACCTATCGATGGAGCCGAGCTAATTATAGAAACACGTCATTACAAGGTGTGGTGCAATACACCAGGCTATTTTTAGAAAATGACGTTCCCAAAGTCTAAAGATAGCGAGAGCTGGCTTGTGACTACGATGGAGGGAGACGACTCGTAATCCAGCATGTATTCATAATTAATTGTTTAATGAAGCAGTACTTAAGATCTTAAAAGAGATATTGTATGGACTGTTATATTTCACTGTACAATAAATAGGAAAGTCTATAAATAGATCAACGTCATACATCTTTTCATACCAAGTATGTAGTAAGTGGAATGCAACGGTGAGAGGAACTAGCTCACAAATATAGCGAGACGAGGTAGAGTCACCTGTGTAAACAAACCGTTATAGACCTTACACAACAGCACTGCTCGTACAGTGAGATCGACACTTAGTCACACAGTCGGCCAGTCATAGCCTGTGTAAACTGATCGCTTCTGAATGAGACATGGTTTCTTATTAAAACATATGCAGTTTATTTTTATGTCATTTGTATTCTCACCATGCCCGCTGAAGGATGGAAAGAGTATTTGTCCAGCATTTACTTTAATCCCAAACACCCAGCCTCCTTCTCGGGTTCAACTAAGTTATGTCACATGGTGAAAAAGGAAGGAAAATTTGATATCAGCTTACATCACATCAGGAAGTGGCTCGCTTCTCAAGATGCCTATTCGCTTCAGCGACCTTTTAGATACAAGTTCAAGCGGAACAAAGTGATCTCAACTGGTTTGAACAATCGGTGGGATATTGACTTGGCCGATGTATCTAATATAGCTTCTGACAATGACAGTGTGAAATACTTATTGATAGCTATCAATGTATTCACACGATTTCTGTGGGCGGAACCCCATAAAAATAAAACACCAGACACCATCATTAAGGCTATGAAGAAGATATTTTCTCGTGCTACTCTTCCACAGCTCATAAGATCTAACAAAGGCCGTGGATTTGATAACAAGAAAGTGAGATCATATTTAGCAAACAAGGGTATTACCTACAATGTCACTCTCTTATACCGAGAGAGTAATTCGAACCCTTAAGGCGAGTATGTACAGGTACTTTTACTTACAAACAATCGTACCATTATATTGATGTTTTGCAAGACTTGGTGAAAGATTATAACCAGAGACCTCACAGATCGCTGAATGAACGTTCACCCATTGATATTAACGCAAACAATGAATCTGTTGTTTGGAAAGAACAGTACATTAAGCCACTGATCAAACAAGGCAAGCCCCAAAGCAGAGAAGATGAATGAAACCAGAAGGAAAGCCTTTAAATTCAAAGTAGGGGATCAGGTGCGACTGTCACATTTGACACATGTCTTTCAACGTGACTATCAGGAGAAATTGACGGAGGAAATCTTTATTGTTACTATACTACGATACTACAGGGATGGAATACCAGTCTATAAAGTCAAGGACATGGCCGAGGATCCAATCACAGGTACTTTTTATGCGAATGAACTTCAGAAAGTCTATAAGTCTGCAGACACCATGTGGTAGAGAACGTCTTGAAGAAGAGAAAGAGAGCTGGTAGAAAAGAGGTGTATGTTAAATGGATGGGTTATCCTAAGAAATTCAACAGCTGGATCCCAGAGCAGGACCTCCAGGGTATATAAATAAGGATAGATGTCATCCACTTCTCATTGGATACAGAACCACCATGGAAGCAACATGTCCAGATTGTCAGAGACGGTTTTCAAGGAAAGATGTTATGCTGAGACACAGGAGACATAAGCACATTAATGATTATGAAAATCCGCCACCGCCGCCACTGCCGCAGAGGCAATTACAGCCGCTGCCGCAATTACCACCACCGCCGAATAACTCAAATGTATAACCAGCAAAACAACAACCAATTCACTGATAAAGAACATTTCAAGTTTACCATCCCCTCTAATGCAGTTGTTGTGGGCCCTACTGGCAGTGGAAAATCTATGTTTATATGCAACCTTCTCATGAAGGGATGTATACAGCCAGCACCTAATCACTTTATCTGGTGCTATACCCAATGGCAGCCCCTGTACCAGGTGATCAGTGAACAGTTACACCATGTGAAGTTTGTGAAAGGAATTCCTTAAAATGTACTTGACGATACCTTAGGGCCCCACCTTCTTGGATGCCAGAAATAACAACATGATTGTGTTGGATGACATGATGTCTGAAGCTAAGGATGACAAACGCATTTTCTCAGCTATTTACTCGAACCTCTCATCATAAGAATGTCATTATCTTCCTACTGTTACAAAATCTGTTTCCACGAGGGAAAGAGTCACATGACATAGCTCTGAATTCTCACTATGTGACTCTATTCAATTCACCTGTGGATAGACTACAAGTCCAATTGTTTGCCAGACATATCTACCCCAACAATGTAGATAGGTTTATGTCAGTCTATGAGACAGATATGCAAAAGCTCTATGGCAATCTGAATGTTGATCGACGACCTGCCACTCTCGAATTAGAGAGATAACAACCTAATATACTAACTAAAGCTGAAGTACCCTCGGCCTCAGGGATAATAAAAGACATAGCAAATCCCCCACCAGAATCAAAACACATTGAGGCAGTGAGCACATTTATAACAGGGGAGCAACCTGAACCACCTAATCATTTGACTCCAGACACTGACAGAGATAACATCTCCAAGCTGGTTGAGAATACTGTGGTCTCAGAAGACGAAAACATGCCCTCATGTGACGAGTGTAGTATTGTATGTGAAAACAACCATGACTTTCAACGTCATGTGAGGACCTGGTGCCAGGAAAATGGTGGGGAGCCTCTGCAGAACGAACTAAGGTGGATGTAGCTGATGATACTAAGAATGATACCCTGCATCCAGTAGAGACAGGTACTAAAGTTGATAGAGAGAGGGAGAAGTGAAAGGTGTTGAATACATGGGGTAACACACTTTGAAAGCATGTAAGGAGGACATCTGGAAGGAAAAGGAGGACTTTGAGGATAAAGGAAAGAGTGAAAGATGAATTGGAGAAATGCTGGCAAACTACTTTTCTTAACAGACTTGCGACAGCCGTTCGTTTTGCCAGCTATTTCGGATATGGACCCATCTTCAAGCCTATATTGAAGAAAATCACAGCCCTGGATCCCCACATGTACCCTAAAGAAATGGATGCTAAAACCACTCAGTGGATGAGACCTATCGTGAATGATATTCTCTCTCATGAGGACTTGAGCCAGGCTGAAGATTCAGTACTTGTTGACATGTCTGAGCATGATGATACAGATAATGATGAACTGTGAACTCTTCTACACAAATTTGCATCTATGTATTATATAAATATATGATGTCTGTATTGTATTACTTGTATGCACACTGTATTTATGTGAATATGTATAACCTTATACCATGTATACTCATGTACATATATAATAAAGGATGTAAATAACAGTATATGGTTGATTTATATGTTCTGTCACCAATGAGCTTCACTTGATACAGAGAAACTTTGTTTCTCAAAGGGATAAAACAAACTCGCAGAGTTAAGTCAACACATTTTATTTCATGAATAACACAACGTGAGAATCATGAAATGTTCAAAGCCAACCTTCATATGCAATCTATTTACATCATAAATCATAATGGTCAATGGGCATGCATTCATACAAGTATTTATTAACATGAAAACAGATACAGAGGCTTGTTTGGCTTTACACAGTCATTATGCCAGCATTTTGAAAATACAAAATGTATTCTATAAAATCAAACTATACATGAGCAAATATGACAATCCTACACTTGTTTATCAAAGCAAACTTGCCTCCCATATTTACATACTCCAGTTCTAGGCAAACAACATAGTTGTTGTATGGGCTAGATGTTATGTAGGTTAGCAACACAGATACCCTTCATGATATTTTGTCAGAAAAGAAAAGTGCTTTACTCAGTCACTGAATGGATTCTATAGTGCCCATGGCTAGTGTATGGATCCCATCCTTTAAAACATAACGCTTGTCATCAAAAAGGGGAGAGACTTATTTTATTGATGGAGGTTGTATACAGTTGATGTTCATAGCTCCTGATTTGATTCATGACATGTCGAAATTGTGTTTTACCACAGAGACACTGCTTGTAAAGTTCATGCCTCAGCTGTCTTTTTGTGACAGTTTTGGAAGCCCTTTTTGCTTTCTGTTCTTCTGCAATAACAAATTTAATTGTATCATTCTCATGTTCTCTTTCATTTTTATCCTTTTTAACTTCTTGTTCAAAAGAGAATGAATACAGTTTTGGCCGGAGCCCAATGAACTCTTCCATGATACAACCTCCTATCTCGTCCTTGAACTTGGCCAAGACTTTGGCATTGCTTTTGGAATAGAGAGGGTGCAGTGGCTTATAATTGCTGGAATCAAACAGATGCATATGTTCTCCCATGTCAGCATACATATCAGGGGTTTCAATTTTGTAACATAAGGAGTCAGTGTCTGTGAAGCATAGCAATGATTTCTCCCCATATTTAGGCTTGATGAAATTGTAGTGAAAGTCATACATCACTAGCTTTGAGAGGTCCAAGATAGAAAAGCCTGAATATACAGGTTGGTTTAGGGTCAGGGTGACTCTTTTCAAGTGAACTGCTGCCAAGTCTGGGTTAAATATTTTAAAAGCATCAAAAGTGGGCTTGGCACAAAGCTTTTTGAGACACTTGGCTGAATTCACCAGCTCCATATTCACATGCTTTCTTACATTCACCATGGAACGACCAACACAAGAATTATTTAACAGTTTAAAAAGTCTTTTTCTGTTTCAGCTTGTTTTCTCTTCTCTGTATTGAAGCCAATGAACGGTTTGAGCCAGGGAGATTGAATAGCTCTGTGGATTTTGGATAGAGCCATGCCATGATTCAAATAGAATTGTAAATTCCTGTAGTGCAATACATAGTTTTATTTGTTGAACAAATTGGGAACCAGTTTCTTCACGGGTTTACCCTTCAGTTTTTGTTCCCCTTTCAGTTTCTGAGAGTGTTCAGAAAGCATGTCATGTGCGACTACCATGGGTTCAGCGGCTAAGGGAGATCATGCAAGTGAGAGGGGTATTCTAAATTTACCTCAAGGATATAGCCGATATCAGCATCAGGGCGTATATTCATAACACCAATTTGGTCTACATTCTCCACCCACTGAAACTCTCGTTCAGGTAGGGCTTGAGACGTGGCCCACCCATACAGGTTGTTAGCATCCCAGTACATGAGTTAGTTTATGGGATCATCGGGATTAAACGTTCTGGTTTTCATAAGAGGGTTATTACTGGAAACATGTTTTGTTGATATACAAGATATGCCACCCCTCAATCCTCTTTCCAGCGTGAGATGTTTTTCGATATCTGTCAAGAGTTCAAGCTCCACTTGATCCATTTTCAACATGGCATACCATCCAAACCCAGGAATAGTATAATAGTGAGCGCTGTCTAGATCATAGTTTTCAAGGCACATGTCTCTAAAGTCATCAAATACGTCAGCCAAAAGTAAAACATCAGTTTTCATATACAAATCATGGTACTCTCCCAAGTTTTGTATTTGAAAAGTTGACCAAACTTGTTGGGCATGAGCATAATCCTCATCAGAAATAGAACTCTCGGTCAACCTATTGTAAAAGTCCTCCTGTTTTGGGAGATGATTCAGTCTAAATTTGGATTCATCATTCATGAAGTCGTATGGATAAACCCCTTTCGCAAGAGTAATTTCCTTTGTTCATCATTGCCATATTCCCAGAATAAATGTTTGAATTTAGTGGCACATTTATCCAAGTTTATAACCTTTTTATTTTTAATCTCATCCGAACAGTCTTTTACCATATTGCTAACCAAAGTGTCCAGGGATGTCTGAAGAAATTGAAGAGAGTCAATAAATCTTAATCTACCCAACGAGAAAGAAATATATTTCTCCAAATTTTGCGCAATGCACTCCAGTTTTCCTTTGTAGCTTTTGTCTAAATGTTTTAACAAGATATGACTATCAAAATTCTTCAAGTTATGGAAGATTATAGGCATGAAGAATTGCTCGTCTTCACTCCCTTTCTTTCCTTTATTCTTTTTCTCTTGATGTCTTATACTTTTTTTGAACTTCAACTGAAGATTGCAGTTTTGATGAGCAGCAGCCCGAAAATTATTGACTTTCTTCAAATGGTCATGATCCCCTCACTTTTATCGACTTTACATCAAATGCTTGCTGACAGATATGACATGTGTCAGCCTCCTGAAATGCTACCTCATCAGCCTCTGTCATATGGATGGGAAAGGTTTCTTTCAACTTTTCTTGAATTGCTTTTTCCTCATTCAACAAACAATCAATGAAATGAGCTATGACATTAGGACCCCTATACACCACTGCAGGTTGATGATAGTCTGGATTAGTAGAAACTACTTTGTAACAAAAGCCAGAGGGTTCATGTTTTTGATAGACCGAAGTAAAGGAGCTGTCTGGATTAGGCTGACACCCACTCACTGGTTTGGTCATAGATTCAAAATCAGCATAAATGACAAAAGGCACTCGGAGCTGATTCTGAATGTTTTTGAAAGCTACCCATGCTTTTTCTCCCTCAGGCATTTTTATTTTCTGTATGTTATGATCATAGCAATAGGGGTATGACTCTCTAACAGATCCCTTTGGGTGAACCCATGAAGACAGTGTCTGCAATAGAAAGCAGCTCCATCATGATTTGTTCTGTCTCCCATCAGTCTGCTAAAGTTTTTAATCAAACAGAAATGCCTCTTTTCTCCCTGACTCAGTAGTAATAAATCTACTGTCTTATCACGCCTGTGCTTACTGACATGAAGTGGAAATACTCCATCTTTCTCATCATAGCCATAAACATTGACAGAAATATCATTTTGGTTTTCAAATTTGGAAATTTGAGAAAGAGGGAGAGGCATATCAATCCCACACATATTCGATTCTGATTCATATCCTACATATTTTGACACTCTATTGGTATGCTCAGTAAATGGCAATGAGTGCAAGGCCGCAAGAATAGACCAGACAAAACATTTCTGATCATTGTTTTGGATGTTCAAAATAGCTTTTTTATTTTTCAAGTATTTGGGTAAAGGAATGTAACTGGATGCTGACAAGGGGACATATTCAGCTGTATTCACTTCAAGATGAATGATGTGGTCTAAGATCCACCACTGCCCTCGGCTTGAAACTCTTGAGAAGATGTGTACAGTTTTTGGAAAGCTTCAGCTAACTGCTCATTAATTTCTGATAGGTTACTCACCCAAAAATTGGTACTTCTCAGAACAGGTTCAGCCAAATGACTTTGGTTATTTTCGTCATACTTGATATATTTCAACTTTAGAGTGAGAAACCACTTCATACCTGTCTTTTCTGACATAAAATCCTGAAGGATATCAACAATATTTGTCTCTTCATCTGCTAGAAATTGTAGGATATCCACATTATTAGCTTCCCTAGGGGTGATTGTTGTTGTTCTCAGTGAGCCTTCCAGTGCTGACCTTTGACCTCCACCAGTCTGATTGCCCTGCCTTGCTTCATAACGTTGACGACGTCTCACACAGCCATCACACTGGTCCACACGCTCACTGTAGAAGCGCTCAGGGAGAGGACGGTGGCAACTCATGCACTCGCGACCTGAGTGCGAACAACTCATGCAGAATAGCTTGTTTGGCAGTAAGCATTTACAATGGCCACACCAAATACAGATAGCATATCTGGCTGGAATGTTGCTGTCACTCTTAGGCTGCAGACAGGGACGTTTCGCCAAGGTTTCTGTAGCTGTTTCACTTCCCTTCCTCTTCAGAGTAGTTTCACATTTGTGACTTTGAAGTGCATCCAGGCGGGAATAACATTTTCCACATTGCTCACAGTTATATCTCTCGTCGTTGTGCACTGTCCTAACATGGCGGAGAAGATTTCTCTTCTGTGTGAATGTCTTCCTGCATGTATGACAAGTGTGCTGTGCTTGAGAGGGTGTCACATTTTCCCTATGGCTAATGTTATTTGCAAGCAGTTCAATACGTTTTAAATTCACATCAGCATCATTTATCAATTCATTCTCTGCAGCCCATTTCTCTAAATCAGACAAAGAATCCACACTGTCAAGAAACCTTTGTTTTTCGGACATTCTGTAATACAAGAGGTAGTGTGTTAAATACTGTTCACTATATACAACGGCATGACTTATAGTGTAACTTTTACAATGACGTACTGCAGCCAACAATAGACGTGCTAGTGCAATAGTATTATAGTTTAAACAAGCCCAGTCACCTAATCATGATTGAAATTATTCTAAAAATGTGTTGGTTAGGCAGTGGTGCTGCTCACTTACCTTTCAAAATGTTTCTTTCACCCTGCAGTATTTGTAGGGAGTTCCCTCGCGGTCCTTACTCCGTGCTGACAGCAGTTTGAATAACCCGCCAACACTGTCGACCGCTTTATATAGAAACCATGCAACCAGCATAAGTGAACATTAGTTATCGCATAGAAATTAAATAGGAAAGGGAGATAACTGCTTAGGTGAAAACATCACTTCACATACCACTCATGTTTCAACCTGCACACACAGTCTACGAAAGATACAGAACTGGATCACGCATATCGTAATATTATTATCCAGTATACACGATTCGTCATCAAAAAACGCAGCGAGTGTTTGAAACAGTGTTCCCATTTCACTTACAGTAGTTGAGAGTTTACGATCACTTGTATAACCTTTGGAGAAAGCTATTGAGAAAATCCTTATTATTTCCTTCCTACTTATGGTCTCAATATATAACCTTTCTCACTATCTTTAGACTAGGATTTTTACATTTGTAACAATAACCACCTGGCTTTATAAGCATCAGTGTAAGGCTATGAATCATCCAGTAGAGTTTGTTTACAATAGGCGTCTGAAGCGAGCCGGCGTCTCACAATGTTTGACCCAGCTTCTCTCTCAATCGGATTTACAATAACATTCTTTTTCCTATAATATAATCCTGCTTGTCTTGTTAGAATATCAAACCATTACCTATGAACGTTTATAAAGAGCTACCGCATTCATAGCTTGTCATTATGTTTAGTCTGTGCTTTTTCACTTCTAACCTCAGACAGGATGAAACAATCACGGTCACATTCGTAGCTGGCGCCTCTCACGCTATATTTAGCAAAGGGATTCCCTGTACTATACATAGCCCGCGTATTGCGCCACACCTTGTAATGACTTGTTTCTATAATTAGCTCGGCTTCATCGATAGGTGGCGTAGAACTCTCATTTTCTATTCATCAAACAGTCCATATGAAACAAAGCAGCATTGACTTCAATGTTTATTCGACTTCAATGTTTATTCGACTTCAATGTTTATTCGTCAGTTTGCATGCTGCTTTGCTGTGTTTTCTGAAGCTGTAGCTGAATAGTGAACAAGGAACTTCAAAGGGAAACGTTTTACGGAAAACTCTATCGTGACACCAAGTTATAAGAAACGTTGTTGTAACGTTGCGAAGAGCCCAAAGCATAACGTTGCGAAATCTTTGCATGTTGATTAGCAGGGATCAAACTTACCGCCAGACATCAACAAGACGCGGTTATCTCGCTGATTCGCGGTTTGACCTCTCCACGTTAAACTGAGACGGGTTACAGTTTCCATACATTTTTATTTCAGATGACAATGAATATGTTGAAAAGGCATGGCGAAATGTCACTCAAGTGGCGGTTGAGGTACATAAACCGTGATATTTCATTAGCAATTGTAACAATCAACGGTGTAACTAGGGCGAAACGATTCTATATGCTGTTTAAGAAAATAATAAAGTTTGTGCAATTGATTTCTCCTTAGAGTGTACAAACATTAAAACAATATAGTTCTTGGCTATAAAAAATCCCACGAAGATGAATTAAGAGAACACATATGTCATCATGTGTATAATATTGTATGATCTGTCATAATGATTATACAATATGATGTGTTTTTCCCTGTTTCATGTTTCAGTCTTTACGAAGAGACTTAGAAGGTTTCAAGCCTCCTGGTGGTTTGAAGTTCACAAATATACTCCTGGTCGGTCAGATAGGAGCGGGAAAGTCGAGCTACCTCAACAGTATCACCTCGGCCTTCAAAGGTTACGTCACAAGCTCTGTGCCTACCGGCAGTGCACTCCACAGTCTAACACAAAAGGTGCAGGGACAAATCATGATATATAAAAGTAGTCAGACAATACAATGTAGTTGTATTATTCGCATTTATTACCCATACGGGTGAGGAAATCCCGTGTAATATCTTTTTGATATTTGCACATGTGCAATTTAGTGATTCTCGACGTTGATTGGTTGATCGTATATTTGTACATTTTCATTGGATCCCGGAACTACTTTCACACACAACGTTCATTCATAAAGTTTCATCGATTCATTGATAAATTGACAAATATGTAATGTAATCACACATTCCGAGATTTAAAAAAAGAAAACATTAAGGTGAAAGAATATGAAGATTCTTTTATTAGACGTTATTATTTTGGAATAAACCTGCGTTATAAATAGTAGTCTTTTTAAATTATATAATCTTTAAAAAAAACACCAAACAATCGTTTGCACTGTTTGTAAGCAAACATGGCCGCCGTTAGTCTAACCCCATCAAGGTCACTTACCTAGTTAAAGTTGACGGTGACCAAATAGGAAGAGTGATCAGAATTTTACAGCCCTTGAATTCTCAAAACCTGTTTGTTGTTGAAACTGAATTTGGGGAATAGAAACAGCAAGATACCGACTGAAGATGTTATCTGAAAGTGTAACAAGTAAGTCGAACACGGCGTCCATGCCATCGAACCAGAAAACAGCTCCTTTCTTACCGGAATCAGTGCTAAATGTTCTTCTTCAAGGTGACTTTTTATATCCATGCATTCCTAATCAATCTGAGAGGTTGGCCCCAGTAGCCGATGCAGAGATTGACACATTTCATCGACTCGGATTCCGACTAGAGTTATCCTTCTTGGAACTGCTGTACTCTACTAAGACGAGAGTGTAACACGCCTTCCACAGAACAAAATGTTGTTTAATCTTCAAACTTGTTGAGTTTCTTGACAGAAAACTTTTTCTAGATGTATTCGTTGGATGGTTGTCTTTTAGATTTCCCAACTTTTAACTGTTGACTTTCCCAAAAATTGACAGGTTTTTTGCCAGAGTGTGTTTCAACACTACACCGTCACCCGTCACTAAAAAACACGTAAGTCGTGAATGAACGATGTTCCGTCGCACTGACTTGATCGAATAAATGTTTAGCTCTTATTAAGTTCAATGATATATTTAAAAGATCATTTTACCATATTAACAAATGTCAATTAATTATTCCAGGCATAATAATGTTCTTGTATTTTAAAGCGATTTTATGATGTACTATTTCCATAGCGTAGTTATGTTATTACCGCTGGAGAAGTTAGGTTTAATACGCGCATGAATACGAATCAGCTGTTTAAGGTCACAAGTCCTGTCTCCGGGTGGTTTTTATTTCGTGGTTCTTCCTTTCAAATTACATTATGGGTAATAAATAGAATAACCAACGAGGTCCGAGGCTCGGCACTGTGAACATTATTTCAACTCTGGCAAATTTCCCGTAATCACTCGAACCTCGTTGGTTATTCTCTAAGTAATCCATTCACCCAGCATCTAACTAACCCGTTTGATATCCCAGCTATACGACGGAAGTCTTTAAATAATCTAATCTTGACAAGCAAATCAAGTGATTGACATCATGAGCATAGATCAAACGCAATTGGGATACGATGACATATGTCAACCATGTCAGCGAGCCGGACCACCCGATCCCGTTAGTCGCCTCCTACGACAAGCATGGGATACTGAAGAACAATTTTAACTGGCGTTTGAATATAGGCAGCAACTGTGAAGCCATTTCTAGAGTCCCACGTGAGTGATATTGCTGGACTATTACTTAAGTGGCGCATCAAACTATCCAGTCACTCACCTTGGTGTGACCTCGATCCATCGAGTTGCAGAGTATCATTTGCAATATCTTGATCCAAACTTTTCTCAAATCTATGTCAGTGAAATTCAGCTGTAATAGGTAACGTTCTCGCTATTATAGACGTGTAGTCTCTGCTGTGGTTCCTCTGCGTACTTATCAGCTTACGCAACATTGTCAAAATGAATCACTGTTTGTCAGGTTTACTGACATGGTTGATTGCATTGCCTTTCTTGACTATCCCTCCTTTTATTGCTCCAGAATGAAGAACACAGGATCTATACCTGGCCTCAAAAGAAGCCACTTAAGCTCCGATTGTGGGACACACGAGGATTTGAACAAGGAATGGACCAGCATATGGTGCCGGACATCCAACACATCATACGAGGACGTCCGCCTAGTTACATTGTAAGCGTGTAAAATAATCATACTACTGACAAACAAGGATAAGTTGGGCCGGCGCAGAGAACGCGTTTACAAGAAGAAGGTGGTGTACGGCACAAACCCATTTGGTGTGTGAAAGGTAGATGGAGGCTTGTGCACGTGCAGTACATGTCGATGCACACGCCTTGCTGATAAGACTCTCACCCATCGCACTACACTTGATCGCGGACAACCTGGGGCCCCTTCGCTCACAGGGTGCGGCACTCATACATGCTAATACGGGTGAATTGTCAGGTCGGTGCTCAACTTAGCCTTGTTTGCCAGTAACTGTTTGGTCGGCATTCTAGAAGTTGTCGAGTCAATGATAAAGCATGCGACTTTATGGATAACAACTTCGGTGTAAAAAATGAAACGTCGCCCTATAAACATAAACGCATGTTTTGTTATTGTAAAAACAGACACTTCCTGAGACTTCATTTCATATACACTAAACTGTGTTCCAGTGAATTTTACATAGGTTAGATATAGGGGTGGGTATTGCAGAGAATTTTCATATGGAGATATATTGCGATGCGAAAGTATATATTACGATATGTATTGCAATATATTGCAAGATGTTTTAACAAAAAACTACTTATAATCGAGTTAATGTTATTTCTAAAGCCAAAACACAACAAAATTACTATGCTTGATTAAGCTTTAATAAAACGTCACAATTTAATTCTGGACTCACAAAAGTCCAGAAACTCTCTACACTGTGGGCACTTTCTGACAAGGGATTTGACCAAATTAAACATGCAGTGGTTATGAATATATGCCAAGGATGAAAAAATGAAAAAAAATTCTTTCGAAAACTTTAAATTTAAACTCGCTCGCCCATGGGCAGGCCATGGGCGAACAGTGGCCCATGGGCCGGCCCATGGGCGAGAATGTTTAATTTCGATCAGAATTCATGTTTTGGAGGTTGTAAATGAATGAGTGTATGTTTGTAAGCATCATGAAACAAATTTCAACTCATTTTGACTTAATTCGACTAATTTAGAGCGATATTAAAAATCTCGCCCATGGGCGAAAAACATTTTGGCCCATGGGCGAGAATATTGACTTTTACTCAAAATATATGTTTTCCATGTTTTGGAGGTTGTAAATGAATGAGTGTATGTTTATAAGTACCATGAAACAAAATTCAACTCATATTGACTTAATTCGACTAACTTAAAACGATATTAAAAATCTCGCCCATGGGCGAAAAATAGGTTGGCCCATGGGCGAGAATATTTACTTTTACTCAAAATACATGTTTTCCCATGTTTTGAGGTTGTAAATGAATGAGTGTATGTTTATAAGCATCATGACACAAATTTCAACTCATTTTAACTTAATTTGACTAACTTAGAGCGATATTAAAAATCTCGCCCATGGGCGAAACACATTTTGGCCCATGGGCGAGAATATTGGCTTTTAACCAAATACATGATTTTCCATGTTTTGGAGGTTGTAAATGAATGAGTGTATGTTTATAAGTACCTTGAAACAAAATTCAACTCATATTGACTTAATTCGACTAACTTAGATGGATGCTAAAAATCTCGCCCATGGGCGGAACACATTTTGGCCCATGGGCGAGAATATTGACTTTACTCAAATACATGATTTTCCATGTTTTGGAGGTTGTAAATGAATGAGTGTATGTTTATAAGTATCATGAAACAAAATTCAACTCACATTGACTTAATTCGACTAACATAGAGCGATATTAAAAATCTCGCCCATGGGCGAAAAATAGGTTGGCCCATGGGCGAGAATATTGACTTTACTCAAAATACATGATTTTCCATGTTTTGGAGGTTGTAAATGAATGAGTGTATGTTTATAAGTATCATGAAACAAAATTCAACTCACATTGACTTAATTCGACTAACTTAGAACGATATTAAAAATCTCGCCCATGGGCGAAACACATTTTGGCCCATGGGCGAGAATATTGACTTTTACTCAAAATACATGTTTTCCATGTTTTGGAGGTTGTAAATGAATGAGTGTATGTTTATAAGTATCATGAAACAAAATTCAACTCATATTGACTTAATTCGACTAACTTAGAACGATATTAAAAATCTCGCCCATGGGCGAAAAATAGGTTGGCCCATGGGCGAGAATATTGACTTTTACTCAAAATACATGATTTTCCATGTTTTGGAGGTTGTAAATGAATGAGTGTATGTTTATAAGTATCATGAAACAAAATTCAACTCATTTTGACTTAATTCGACTAACTTAGAACGATATTAAAAAATCTCGCCCATGGGCGAAAAATAGGTTTGGCCCATGGGCGAGAATATTGACTTTTACTCAAAATACATGATTTTCCATGTTTTGGAGGTTGTAAATGAATGAGTGTATGTTTATAAGTATCATGAAACAAAATTCAACTCATATTGACTTAATTCGACTAACTTAGAACGATATTAAAAATCTCGCCCATGGGCGAAAAATAGGATTGGCCCATGGGCGAGAATATTGACTTTTACTCAAAATACATGTTTTCCATGTTTTGAAGGTTGTAAATGAATGAGTGTATGTTTATAAGCATCATGACACAAATTTCAACTCATTTTGACTTAATTTGACTAACTTAGAGCGATATTAAAAAATCTCGCCCATGGGCGAAACACATTTTGGCCCATGGGCGAGAATATTGACTTTTACTCAAAATACATGATTTTCCATGTTTTGGAGGTTGTAAATGAATGAGTGTATGTTTATAAGTACCATGAAACAAAATTCAACTCATTTTGACTTAATTCGACTAACTTAGAACGATATTAAAAAATCTCGCCCATGGGCGAAACACATTTTGGCCCATGGGCGAGAATATTGACTTTTACTCAAAATACATGATTTTCCATGTTTTGGAGGTTGTAAATGAATGAGTGTATGTTTATAAGTATCATGAAACAAAATTCAACTCATTTTGACTTAATTCGACTAACTTAGAGCGATATTAAAAATCTCGCCCATGGGCGAAAAATATTTTGGCCCATGGGCGAGAATATTGACTTTTACTCAAAATACATGATTTTCCATGTTTTGGAGGTTGTAAATGAATGAGTGTATGTTTATAAGTACCATGAAACAAAATTCAACTCATATTGACTTAATTCGACTAACTTAGAACGATATTAAAAATCTCGCCCATGGGCGGAAACACATTTTGGCCCATGGGCGAGAATATTGACTTTTACTCAAATACATGATTTTCCATGTTTTGGAGGTTGTAAATGAATGAGTGTATGTTTATAAGTATCATGAAACAAAATTCAACTCATTTTGACTTAATTCGACTAACTTAGAGCGATATTAAAAATCTCGCCCATGGGCGAAAAATAGGTTGGCCCATGGGCGAGAATATTGACTTTTACTCAAAATACATGATTTTCCATGTTTTGGAGGTTGTAAATGAATGAGTGTATGTTTATAAGTATCATGAAACAAAATTCAACTCATTTTTGACTTAATTCGACTAACTTAGAACGATATTAAAAATCTCGCCCATGGGCGAAACATAGGTTTGGCCCATGGGCGAGAATATTGACTTTTACTCAAAATACATGTTTTTCCATGTTTTGGAGGTTGTAAATGAATGAGTGTATGTTTATAAGTATCATGAAACAAAATTCAACTCATTTTGACTTAATTTGACTAACTTAGAGCGATATTAAAAATCTCGCCCATGGGCGAAACATATTTTGGCCCATGGGCGAGAATATTGACTTTTACTCAAAATACATGATTTTCCATGTTTTGGAGGTTGTAAATGAATGAGTGTATGTTTATAAGTATCATGAAACAAAATTCAACTCATTTTGACTTAATTCGACTAACTTAGAGCGATATTAAAAAATCGCCCATGGGCGAAAAATAGGTTTGGCCCATGGGCGAGAATATTGACTTTTACTCAAAATACATGATTTTCCATGTTTTGGAGGTTGTAAATGAATGAGTGTATGTTTATAAGTATCATGAAACAAAATTCAACTCACATTGACTTAATTCGACTAACTTAGAACGATATTAAAAATCTCGCCCATGGGCGAAAAAAACACATTTTGGCCCATGGGCGAGAATATTGACTTTTACTCAAAATACGTGATTTTCCATGTTTTGGAGGTTGTAAATGAATGAGTGTATGTTTATAAGTACCTTGAAACAAATTTCAACTCATTTTGACTCCATTTGACTAACTTAGAGCGATGTTAAAAATCTCGCCCATGGGCGAAACACATTTTGGCCCATGGGCGAGAATATTGGCTTTACTAAAATACATGATTTTCCATGTTTTGGAGGTTGTAAATGAATGAGTGTATGTTTATAAGTACCATGAAACAAAATTCAACTCATATTGACTTAGTTCGACTAACTTAGATGGATGTTAAAAATCTCGCCCATGGGCGAAAAATAGGTTGGCCCATGGGCGAGAATATTTACTTTTATTCAAAGTATATGTTTTCCATGTTTTGGAGGTTGTAAATGAATGAGTGTATGTTTATAAGTATCATGAAACAAAGTCAACTCATATTGACTTAATTTGACTAACTTAGAGCGATATTAAAAATCTCGCCCATGGGCGAAAAGAGGGTTGGCCCATGGGCGAGAATGTATAATTTCGATCAGAAGTCATGTTTGGGAGGTTGTAAATGAATGAGTGTATGTTTATAAGCATCATGACACAAATTTCAACTCATTTTGACTTAATTTGACTAACTTAGAGACATTAAAAATCTGGATTATTTACGGTAACATGGATTAGCTAATAGCGAATTGCCGGGAGACCCACTTTCACACGATCACTCAACCATACCCATTGCCGGTTGAGCCAAACCATTTTCAACTCTTGTTCTCTTAAAAGTGGCTTTCCCGGACTATAGCTATCAGCACACCCCAATCCGACCATCTGTCATTAATTACCTGTCATGAGCTATCAGTTGTATTGAAAGCTCTCGCCTATTGTTTCATTACTTAATTGTTTC